TGCAGTTAAAACTAAACTGGCAATAACCTTAAAGAAAAAACAAAACATAACTGCGCATAGTTTAGATTCAAATATCGAGAAAAAAGTCAAATTTGTAAAACTAATTACAAATTTACTTACCATTAGTTTACCGATATATTTGGTCCTACATGACTGGTGTACTTTCCGCAATAGCACATTCGCCGGAGAATGTTTCGGTTTCCATCCAATGCAGAATCCCAGAAACAAGAATTACTATTATGATATTCACTAGTATGAGTTTTATTGTACGAACAGTAGCAGACGAGGTTTATAATATGTCCATACCCTGCATTTTTTGTCCAGGTACAATAAGGATTTTTGTGAAACTCAGTCTTAGGATATTGTTCTGCCATCTTTTCAAATAAATGTAACTACAGTATCGTTTCAGCACGATTACGACCAATTTTGTCGGCCAATTAGTTAACAGAAAAACTGCACGTGATTCTGATAGCCAATAGGTCTGTGACAAAATAGGTTTAGCAGTACTGTACTAACGTAATGGTGATGGTTTTGACTCATAAGAAGGAAAGATATGAAGAACTATTAGAAGAAATAAACAATGACACAGGAGTAGGAAATCCTCCTTTTTAATAAATATAGAAAAATTCAAAATTACTTAATTGTTCGAAATACATTGTATATTAATTAAACATAACTAAATTGCCTTTATGGTTGTTTTATGTCGAAGTTTAATTTGTGCATTAGATTTGTGTTTGGAAATTTAATAATGTTTGTAGAGGCATGGCACTCGTGTTTATGAAAAATATTTATCACATTCATCTAGTTGATATCAATATTTGGACCCACCGTTGAGAATACCCACAATTGCATTCTCAACGCAGAATATACTTTCTTTGTCCCATATCCCTCCGATGCCATTTACATCTCCTATCGTAATGCGTCTCCGTTCCAGGTAGTTTTGGCAATGGCACTCTCGGGGGGGGGGGGGATTTTAGTTCTTCGCCTGATACAGTATATATAGTTTTAAGTAGCCAATCCCACCTTAGACATTCTTCAAACTCTGACCTTTCTCGTTACAGATTTGCATGTATTGACCTTTCACATAGACATGCGGAGTTCATTCTGCGTGATAATTTACTGTGTAACAGAAAATAATATGCCAATGTGTATAATGTAAACTGACGTGTCAATGTATTGGTCATTCGTTTAATAACCTTTAATACAAATATAATTTTCGATTCAAAAGTTTTAGAAATATATTTTTTGAGAGCTGATCAAATATAATAGAAATGTTTAAATTAAGGAGAATAATAAATACGATTTTTGTTGTTATAATTATTCGGAATTGTACGGCCTATATTGTTAATAGGTGGATGGAAGTAACTTCTAATATAAACATTAGGTCTTTTATATTATTATGTAATAATTATATTATTATATTATTTAAGTCATTTAACCAAAAAACTTTATTTGTTCCTTTATATCAGACTTCATCTTACATACAGATTAAGTTAATTGATATTTTATGCTACATTATTGTTATTAACACACAATAAATTATATTTCAAACACCGACAATTACTACGACAGAATAAAACAACAGACTAGCTTTGTAGCTAAGTTTAGAGAGCTTTTAATGCAACTACGGTACATAATACTAGCACGTTACAATGCAATGTAAATTTAAAATGCCTATATTAACATTAATAATAATATATAATAATATTAATAATATTAATAATATTTTTAATAATAATAGTAATAGTAATAACATAATTTATATGTTGAGGTCAATTAAATAACTACATGATGAGAATGATAATAATGATGATAATGAGAGTGGTATTGTTAATGATTTATCAAAGTTGACACCTACATTTAGGACCTACAAAAAATCGACCCCTTGTGGAATGAACTGTATAAAAAGGGAAACATTTGTTGTTAATTGTTAACTAATAGTAACAGGCCTACATATTATTTATATAATGCTACATGACATTCATCAGTAATAATAATAATAGCAACAACATAAGATAATATAAATATTTAAAGGGGTCAAATACTGTATAATGCTATAGTGTAGAAGGAATATAAAAGAAGTGCTACAGTCAAAGAAATTAACATTTTAACAGAGTTAAAGATGAATTGTCGAATGAATATGACAGAAAATTATCATTTAAAAAAAATTTGAAATTAACTTGCTCATTTTGCTGTAACATACACATTTTTGACTAAAGCACACACTTTTTTTTTTTTAATTAAAAAATGTGTATCCTGATTTTTATACTTGATAATGATAATTAATAATAAAAACAATTGCAGTGACTGGAAGTGTTTCTATCATTTTTCGCTGTAAAATTTATTGGTAAATATTTTTTAAATAAACTCATTTGGACAGATGAAAGTGCGTTATTGAAAAGTGCAACATCTAATCCACTTCGCCACGAGCAATGGCTGTTGGAATGGCGATATATAAATGGAACGATTTGATATTTTGATTTGATATTAGTTGATTATTTTCATGTTGCAATACTTCAAAACGAACAATTTAATTTCAAATAAGACTTTTATGAATATTTTTGTAGTTTTCATTTTACAAATTTGTATGTTTATATTCTGAATTAGGCTTATAAGGATAAGCCTATTATCAGTGTTCTCCCCAGTCCCTTGAAGCACCATGGTACCATGATGCTTGGGACTTTCCACATGATGTCTTGACAGTTGGTCATGCTGCTTGGATCATCTTCCATGATTCTTTTATCAGGGAAGCTTTTATATAGTCTTAAAGTGCAATTTAGGACATTTCAATGCCTCCTAATTATTAAAAATACCTAGTGTCAGTCCCTAGGGTGGACTTAACACTTACCATGACGCTTGCCCATGATGCTATGGAGAACACTTCATTATACTAGCCTTACAATTTACGATTATAGGAACACAATATTATTGTTAATGTTATACTGATCATGGGAAACCTACTTGATTTAATTTTACAATATAACTATTATTTTTAATCTAATCTGGATATAGAAGTGTTATCGGTTGTAAATTATCTTTTCTAAGCTTTCTTTGGTGCAGTAGTGGAGCTTGTTGGCTAAATATATATTGATGAGGTGCAAAGTAGGCGAGTAGTTAGCAGTGGAATACAAGGAGGGTGCGAGTAAAATTTAGTTTCATAATTCTCCTCTACAGGACGATGAAATTTGTGTCTTGACATGAAGGTGCAATTTGTGCCTTGATTGTATAGCTTTCAAATAGGATGCATGCAATCTTCCTCTTCCATGATCTCATCAAATCTGAAAAAATATATCAAGAACAAACATAAAACTATAATTTTAATTTGAAAAAAAAAATTCTCATAATTATTAATTTATATTTCATGTCAAATGCAATACATATAAATACGCAAGTCTCCCTTCAATTAAAGACCCATCAAATTGAAGACCACCCCCAAATAAGCACCACTTTTCTGCGACTCTGGTTGAATCCCTATTTTTTTAACATTTGCTGTTTCCTCCAATTAAATACTCCCTCTATTTAGTGACCAACGACAATGGTTGTGAATGACCCAACTGATAATTTCCCCTCCAATTTAAGACCACTATAAAATAAATAGTGATGTTGTATGACTTAAACATAAAAATATTAGCCAAAGCACATCATAAGAATCTGTTTTGTGTATATTGAATAACGATAATGCCAGTGATGATGTTGGTAATATTGTAATAAAAGTTGTTTTAAATAATTACAGGACTTGATTTCTAGATTCAAAAAAAATTCTTTAATAAGAGTAAATATCAGCATACAGTAACTTTCCTCTAAACAGAGACACACACAGGTTTTTGTTTGTTTTTTTTAACTCCGGTGATAGATGGTTTTGGCAGACCAAACTAAAACTTTTCCGTTCAATTAAAGAATATTTTTTTAAAATATAGTTATTTTACAGCAGAATTTTACAGACTTCAAAATAATATACATCAAAGCCAATTTTTTGTGTATGCTGTACTCTATATTGAATGCCAATTGTGTTAGTAGAATGTTAATGGTTGTATTTTTGTAATGGATATTTGGGTAGAACGTATGCCCATGCATTTATATACATATGAATATACATAATTAAATAATTATAATTATAGGTAGGTAATGCCTGCAATTTGAAACCTAACTGACAGTTACATTTAAAGAGAATACAGGTGCGCTTAGTTTAAATTCAGACCGGATTTAGAATTTAGTTGTCTTATGGGAAATTGTTGCGGCAACCATCATTAAAATAAAAACACAAAATTACAAAATAAAAAATTATATCAATGATATGGTACATACTATAAAATAAGATGATTTAAAAATGGGGGAAACAATCGAATTTTAAACACTAGCTGCGAATTTATTCCCCATTAGTTTATTGGTACATTTGGTCCTACATGACTGATGTATCTTCCGCAATAGCACATCTGGCGCAGAATGTTTCGGGAAACAAGATTGACTATTATGATGTTCAATATTATGAGTTATATTATAGTTACAGTGACAGTCGAGGTTGAATGTATTTGCATCCTCTACATCTCGTATCCAAATACAATTGGGATTTCCATGAATCTCAGTCTTAGGGAAGTGCTCTGCCATCTTTTCAATGAAAGGAAAGCTACATTAAGTAGTAACTAATGTCCTAACACTAAAACGTTTGCAAACACTTTTGTCAGCCAATTAGAAAGCAGAAAAAATAGCCAATACATACTTGACAACAAATCTATTCATCTGGAAATTAGAAAGGCTTATTCCTAATGTAAATGTATTGATTATTTTAATTCTCGTTTGGTAAAGTAGTATAACAATGCAAAATGTATAAATACATAGCCAGTTAATAGTAATGATTTTAAACATTTTAAACATGTTGCCAAGAATTCTTATAATAAAACTCAGTTTTTTGTGATGTTATGAAATAAAAATCGCAATATATCTGTTTAAATTAATAATAATTAAGAATATTCAATAGTAGATTTTATCATTGAAATCCGTTGTTTATTGCATGTCTGCTGTTACACCGTCCATTTTGATAATGATAATAATCAATATAGTTAATAATGAGTAATATTAGTGATAATGATAATAGTAATGGTAAGATAATGATAATGATAGTGCTAATGATTATAAGGATAAACTTGCAAAAATTAATTTTGTATATTTATTCACTTAAGCGTATATAATTACCATTATTTAAAAATAATTTCATATTTTTAAATTTACATTATCTTATAAATTTAAATATATAGTGTCTTAAAAACGAAGACCATAGGACTGGTAACATTTCTAATGTAAAGTAATTGAATACTTTATGGATAAAAACATTTTTAAAACTATATGGTAAATGTTTATGCATGAGAGAAGCATTAGTGTGAAAAATCAGTTACCATATAAAATACACAGGGCACACGTAAAACTTGTTACCTGTTGCTGTTGCTGTTGTCGTTTATAACTACGAGTCTGAGTATACAATCCACATAACTGACTATACGGTAGTATAGTAACAACTACACAAAATTTATTCAAATATTGTTTTGCCAATTATCAAAAGTGTCAACATGTTATTCATCTACTGTATCTTGGGTTTTGTCACTCGTGTTTCTCAGAATACACGTTTGCTGCAATAAAAGAAATTAATTACCATATACATCTAGTTGATATCAATGTTTGGACCAACCGTTGAGTAATACCCACAATGGCATTCTCGACGCAGAATATACTTGCTTTCCCCCTTAACTGTCGAATGCCATTTACATCTCATATCGTGATGCTCTTCTGAACCTTCTTTTTTAAATTTACCGCAATGGCACTCTCTTGTCCAAATCTTATCACCGCCTAACCCACTCATCTTCCATTGACAACTGTCATCTGTATGTATTTCTGTACAACCAGTGCTCCAAAGCCTACTCCACCACCGACTCATATTAATGTTCTTTTCTGCGAAAATTCTAGTTCTTCGGCTGATATATATAGAGTTTTGAGCAGCCAATCCCATGTTATACATTTTTTAATGTTGGATACGACTGATAGTTTGCAAAACAAAAATCTGTTTACACTTTGTCACCAAGCACTCATGTAGAAGGTAGGCAGATCCGTCGATCAACATAAAAATGTTAGAGTACAATGAAACGCTATATAGTAACGGCCTATTACCTTTAGAGATCAAAATAAATTAATGCACAGAAAGATTGCTATGTTTGTAGTAAACGTCATAGATTGAGTTTCTTTTCACAATCTCGATCGCGCTTACGACTCAAAATTTCAGGGCATGCGTAGAAACTACATAATTTTGGGCACAGCGGCTCAGGGTTGGCACGGCGGGTTTTACGATCAAACAGTAAATGGGTTCGCGATAAAATCATATCATATCGTTTATTCTTTTATTGAAACATGTGTAAAATTTTTTTTTTTCCTAATAGCCTTGCAAAGCATTTTGTGTAACTGTGTCTAAAGGATTGGCAATTTCATAAATACTATTAATAAAGGTATGCACAATTTTTGTGAACATTATTGTCATTATATATCTCCTCTACACAAACATATTATGAGGCTTTGAGAATAAAACTCTGATCCTCACAACCCTGGAATTGAAAACAAAGCGCCTAACATCTGAGCTACAGCTCTAATAATATTTAATATTTTATTTATTTCATTCCTGAAGACATATGTTTTAATGTGTCAAATTTCGATAGCAATATTCAATCTCCAACAAAAAATATTATTAAAATATGAATGTAAAACCTTGTTAATTTTCATCAACGTTAGAACCGACATGGCTGGTGTACTGCTTGCAATAACACTGCCTACGAAGAATAGCTCGCGTTGGATTAACTCGATGCTCAACACTCCAATAGCATTCACTTTTGCCATGGTCTTCCCGTGTATGATCATTGTGACGGCCACAGTTACAGTAAAGGTTTATGACATTTCCAGAGAACCAACCTTTTGCCCATTTACAGTTTTCGGAGCTATGAGTTTCTGTCCTCGAATATACCATTTTTTGACGAAAATGCAAATCTGTGTAAAAGTGTCAGCAAATTTAACAGAAAATCGACAAAGTAATAATTATTATTAGTCAGATTTTGAGTTTAAATAGACCTGACAGTAGACAACCATAGCAGTGATACGGTTCATTTGTATGCCAAGAATTATACATAATATTGTACCCAATAGTATGCCACGAACTTGTTACGTAGTTTCCGTATAAGATATTCGCTATGTCAAAGGCGTTATTATCCCATCAAAAATAAATATTTAATACGTGAAGAAAAAATTCCAAAATAACTTTCTTGGAAACTCCAGAATTGTCTTCATACATATTCAAACAGATTTTTCCATGTAAACATCACCATTTGTTTATTAATTTAAACAATAATTGTGAGCTTGTTGAAATTGTTTTAATTCTAACAATGAAAACTGTTGTTGCAATTTTTTAAAATACTTTTACTAATATGAAGTATTTGATTATGAATCTTGCATTATATCTATCTAAGTAGGGTCGCGATAAAATCATACCCTCAGAGCTGAGCGGTTTGACGGGAAGTTATCTTTTTCCTTCTTGTGCGGAAGACCCTATTTCAAATCCGGCCACCGTCGGACTTAAATTGGAGTCGATCACTCGGCTCCTCGAATAACCTTCGCATCATCCCGTAGTTTGTATTCTTGAACACTGTGCGCATCTGTATCGTGTCGTTGTTGTGTCGTAATCGTGTCTAGTGAAAATGTGCCTTTAGGGGAGACAGGGGACATAGTACTTGCGCCGTATTGTCCCAGGGGCCCAGCCGATTTTTTAATTCCAAATTTGGAATATGGAATAAAACATAAACAATATTGTTCATTTTTTCACCGAAAGATATGCAAGATGTGTTTACATTATTTTCAAAACACCTGTGTTTTACATGTTTTTACTCTGATAAGTTTGTGTGGCCAATTTTGTACATTTTTGATAGAACTTTATAATTTTGTTTCCCTGGTTAGCAATATTTACCTTAATCATTTTAGTTGGTGTCAATGTTTTGTCCGATGTACGTTTTGTACCTACCACAATAACAATGTCGACGCAGAATTGATTCGTTAGACATATTCACACAACAGGACGAAATCCGCTCCCATGAACAAGACGCTTTCGCGTGGTTCTCATAATAATGGGTTTTCGGACAATCGCAAACACAATTACGAACCCATCTATAGTTGCAACAAAATTCCCAGTAACAACTCGAACTAAAATGTTTTTCTTCTGATGGTAGATCTTCCATACTTCGATTTTAGTTTTCAAACGTGTTTTTAAAGATTTTGGATTGATGCTTTTTCGGTTGCTTCTTTACAAAGTTTGTAATAATACACTGAGGCTTGATCTTACTGTAATATCTAAATATCCTATATATAGTACCTCTGATGTCATTTTTTAAACTGCTGATTGTTATGATAATGCAATACTAACATTTCAATGAAAGGTGATTTAAACATGTTGTAGACGTAATGATAAAAAGGGTAGTAGGCCTAGTTGCTAGTAACTACAATACTGCATAACAGGAATTATAACCCAGCAACTGGATTCATGTATGTTTTGTATTTTTTCTTTTACTCGCAATAGTTGGCATTAACTTAATGTTATTAGTCAATTGTATAAAATATATGCAAATGTTTTTTAAATATTACTTACATTTTCTTAAATATACTTTTTGTTAAGATTACTGTTAGAATGGTTTTTTTTTTCTAATTGATTTCAAATGTTAACACATTTTGATGGAATAATTTATCAAATGAATATGTATTGGAAGTTAATTGACTTAAATGCATAACAACTATTTTATAATGAGCCCTGAATATGTTCAAAAACAATTATTCAAAGCTATTATTTATTTTCTTTATCCAAGAATACTATATTGTTATAAACATTAAAGCAGTCTTATTCTAAAAAGAAAAAAATAATCATTGGGAATTCAATTTTAATTTTGCAATTCTAATTTGATTTTGAGTACAAACACAACAGTAACAACTTACCTATTTTAAAAGGTCATAAATCATATTTTTATATCTTAAATGATTAGTAAAATATAATGACAACTAAATTGGATATTTTAAAACTTATTTTAAAACTCAGTGTAATTATTCGGCATTTACAAAAATATAAAAATACCACTATGTTTTATATCTTTTTATAACTTATTGTTATTAGTCAATTGTAAAAAAAAAAACCATTTATATAATGTTTTTAAATTTGTATATAAATAGTATTTTTTCAATATGCTTGATTATGATTTTTTTTTCTTGTTATTATTACTGTTACAATTGTTTTTGTTCTTATTGATTTCAAAATTTAACAAATTTTAATGGAATAATGAATTATAAATTAACCAAATGAATGTTCACCAAATGAATATTTATTGCAATTCATTTTACTTAAATGCATTAAAAACCAATTTTTATAATGAGCCTCTAAATATGTACATACAAAGGTATTTAAAACTATTATTAATTTTCTTTATCTAGGAATACTATCTTGTTATAAACATTAAATACCAAAATGAGACTATTCATTGGAAATTCATTTATCTAATTTTGAAATTATTATATATAAGTTGTACTACAATAATACAACAATAACAGCCTATAAGAATGTCATAAATTAATGCACATAGCCTATATTTCTAGCTCATATTTTATAGTTTTAAATAAGCCATTTCCTAGTCTGAACTGCGCGTATCCGTATCCAAAGTTTAATCGACATAAACATGTTGTGTGTATGTTGCGTATGTTTGTTTATGTCGATTGACTTTAATACGGGCATGCACAATTCAGACTACGAAAATGCTTATTACCTTAATGATTGGTAAAATAAATCACTAATTTAATATGCATAAAAAAAGTTATTTGGAATGTAATATTCCATAAACTCGATGGTATTATTCGGCCTCCACAAAAAAATGTCAAAATATTACTATGCAACCTTAATCCATTTCATGGTAATTTCAACCGACATGGGTTTTTCCATTGGTCCACGTCGAAGTTCAATACTCAAGTAACAATCCTCCCGTCTATGGTTGTCTCAATAATGATCATTTTTAGGTACAATTACAATACAGTTTGATTGTTTTTTTATAGATACTCTTACATTTACGTGTTTTTGATAATGAAGTTCCGTCCTAGAAAGTCCATTTTTTTGCTCGACACAATGTAGTTCTGAATGTGAACAACGAACTACCTAATAATAATAATTTGGCATGTAAGATTAGGAGGTATTTAGGATATCAATGATACAGCTCATTTTCTAAGCAAAACATGAGTAACTACATACCTTTATAATATGGTATGAATTTTATCAATTGTAAGGTTTAAAACACACCCAATGAAACAGGTTTCAAGGCAACAAGCATCGTCTATTGGGAAGAAACAACAGTCAAATCAAGGCCTACAGTATATATTTAGCCATTGACAAATAACTATATATTTTTAATCTATTAATTAATAATTACACTTGTATTGCTATTTAAGGCTGATTATCTTGTAGCATTAACATTAAGAAACATATATACCATTTGTATATAAACTAAAAGTGAACATTGTCACTTATTTGGAAGAATTTCATCTAGTCTTTCGTTGAATTAATATACATATAAATAGTATTAAATATATATCAAATGACTGGAAGTCGGCAAGCTGGAGATGTAGCTTAACCTGTACATTCCAGTCATTTGATAATGGTAGCTGTCAGCGACCGAAACTTTCATGTATGTTTCAAAACTTTTTCGTCTATATATTGAAGAACCATTTACAGTATACTAATTGTCACATTACTTTATATAATAGTTTTAAATTTGTTGATGTTGTCTAAATTATATTGATGAGTAATGTTGCTGCAATTAGAATATTTTACTTATACCTATTTAAATTTAGATATATTAAGTACTTTATCATAAATCATATATTTACCTATTTGCAGTAAAAATATACTAATTATTTCATATTTTATTCAGATGCATAAGTCATTTTGTCACTTAAAATGATGTACCATTCAAAACGGCTTTTTTTATTTGACCAAATGTATTCCCCAACATTTATTAATTTATTATTATGATTATACTAAAATGTGTAATGTGCTACCAAAATGCATGCTTCACAAAAATGTACAAATGTTGGTCAAATATTTTTTAAATGGTAACAGTTCGAATATACCTTAATTATTTGGAGATGTTGGACCTACTGTGCTGGTGTACTCCCCGCAATAGCAAAACCTTCGTAGAATGTTTCTGTTTTCACCACGAAACCTACGCCAGTGACATCTTGTTTTAGTATGTATTTCAAAGTCATTATCATTTCTAGCAGGACATAAACAAATAAGATAGATCACTTTTTGGTCGTTAAAAGATTTCTGCCATCTACATTGGTCATCATAATGAGTATGTATATCAGAATAATCCATTTTCTCACTATTTTTATGTAAGACAGTTTAATAATCTCCGCAAGGCAACAGCGAATTGACGAAATATCTACTGTACGACTAGAGAGTCGTACATTGGATACCAGTAATATTATACATGAAGGTAATTACCATATGAATAGTACGGTTCATTTTGTAAACTTAACAGTATTTTTGACGTATGTAGTTCAAGTATTATGATTTCCATTTAAAAATTTTTAAAAACACTAAACCAGATATGTTGACACAACAAAACTTTTCTGTTGCCTGAAATCATATTATAATGGGACCGGTGATAAACGAATCATATGTATTTGAATATGTATTATCTGTAATGCTTTGGGTCTCTAGAGTATAATTGCTATTAGCAGAAACACAAAATGTTATGATAATTATCATTACTACTGAAAACTAATGGTATAAAGGTAACGGTCACATTCCTAATTTTATTCAATTTGAGCAGTGACAATGATTCTTCATGCTTTTTTGCCGTTTTATTTGTTAGTATTTCTTGTAGCATTAGGGTATTTCATGATTATTTTTCTTGTTGTTTATGTAAAGCACATAAAGGTAATTTTATTTTATTATGTGGTAAATAAGACTTACTATTACTACTATTACTATAATTAAAATATTGAATTATATTCAGTTATAATGTTTACCAAGTAAACAGAAGTGTACTGTATCTTAGATAATCGTGATAATGGTGTTGTCGCTCTTGTTCCTCTGAATACTCTTTTACTGTATTTAAAGAAAATATTTACCGTACTCATGTGGTTGATATCAATATTTGGCCCAATTGTTGGGTGATAACCACAATAACATTGTCGACGCAGAATATACATGTGTTGCCCCTTCCCATTTCCATTTACATTGTAATGCTTTTCTGAACGTTGCCCAAGGTTTAGGCACTGACACTCTCTTTTCCACTTACAACTCTCAATGCTACAGCATGCATCACCACCTATTTTATACATCTTCCATGTATAGCTGTCATTTGTATGATCCTCTCTAGTGTGCTGCTGAAGTGCAATTGACTTTTTGTATAAGCATTAGGTCTATTGTATTATTATATAATTATTATATTATTATTTTATGTAAGTCATTAAATAAGGTTCCTTTATGTCAGTTGGACTTATCTTGCATACAGTTTAAGTTAATTATTAATCTATGCTACATTACTAATACACACAATATACTACTATTACACACGATAATTACTACGACAAATAAAACAAACGATTATATTTGTAGCAAGGTTTTAGAGCTTTTAATGCAACTACGGTAAATAAATACACGCACATTAAAATGCAATGTAAGTTTTAAAATGACTACATTGACATTAATAATAATAGTTACAAAATGATAATGAGGATATGAACTGATTAAAGGGGGTTTGTAGTAAACTGTGAACTAATAATAATAGGCCTACATATTACTTATGTAATGCCGCACGACATATATCAATAATAATAATAATAATAATAATAATAACAATAACAAAATAATATAAATGTAAAGTACTGCAGAAATGTGAGAGTGGAGAAGAAATATAAAAGCAGTGCAAAAAGGTATTTTTATAAATTAACAGTTTTTAACAGACTTAAAAACGTATAGTTCCAGTGACTGGAAGAGTTTCTATTACTTTTCGCTGTAAAATCGTTCGTAAAGTATCTTTTTATGGTTTCTTTGCTGCAGAGTAGGCGAGCAGTTAGCAGTGGAATACAAGGAGGGTGCCAGTAAAAGTTTTATAGTTCTCTTCTATTAAAAGGTGAAATTTGTGCCTTGACAGGAAGGTGAAAGTTGTGCCTTGATTTAATAGCTTTCAAATAGGATGCCTGTAATCGTCCTCTTTCATAACCTCATCGAATCTGGAAAATATAACAAGGACAAACGTTATACTATAATTATAATTTGTTACCTGATTGTGTCATCCTAATTTTTATAAAAATTATACCATTTTATGTAAAGGAACCATTATTAAAAATAGTTATTCTTCAAATTGTATCGATTATAATTATTGTTTGTTTGAATATGAAACTCTTCTTTTTTTGCAGTAGTGCTGAAATGCATATTTATATATAATTATATATATTATGCTTAGTGGTGGTAACCTAGGGTGATAGGTTGTGACCAGTGGCACTCTGGTCGATCGTTGACGTGGTTTGTACGTCAGTGTTTGAGCACGAGGTATGTCCTTTGCTTTTTTATAGCATTTTCAATGGTCCTCGATGGTAATTTCTATTCCGGAGATGTCCGGATAGTTCTTCTGTTCGATTCTGAAAATCTAAATCCGAAGATTTAGATTTGTATATATATATATATATATAGCATTATTGGTAAATAATGGCTTGCAATACACCATTCCCCATAAAGAATAACTTTTAATGTAAGAATTAAGTTTAGATTACGTATTTGTTCACTTCATACAGTAACCAGTTCTTAAATATATGGAAATATGTACATCTGGAATTACCATGCTCATGTTATTAATTACAATTTATCATAAAATAACGACATTTTCAGTATTTATTTGAATTCTATGATAAATCTATAGAACCACAAAACAAAAATACATTTATATTTAATTGATTATAGTCATGATAAGCCTCTATGTATTCATATTTAGTTGGTATAAGTCTAAATAATATTAATCATGATAATCTGTTTATTGACGTTTCAAAAATAATTATGTTTGACAACCGTGGCATTCGTTTCACTAGTGTTTTTAATCATTTGATTATCTGTACAATGTAAAAAAGTTTGCTAATTAATGTTCAAATCATTGTTTCTTATCAGAGAAAAACAACTCATTGTTCTGCTGAACGTTACAGCAATAGTTCAATCCCTGCTCTATGTATAAGAGGGTTGGCGTGTAGGATAATATTCTTGCTCAAGTTAACTATTTCCTTTTTAACTTCAATTTTTATTAGGATTTTATTCATCTGTATTTTAAAATGTATTTTTTTTTTTATGTCTTACAAAGAAAATGTTATTCACACAACTCTAGCACGTGCTTATTAATTTGTACGGTTAATGTTAATCTCCTTTCTATTTGTATTTGTTTTTTTTTTTTTCCTGTTCTGGGCTTCTGGATCTATTTACATTGCCTGTTGTGATGTGTTGTTTAAACTAAGCAGCTTTAAATAGTTAAATAATAGGTTTCTTTTAATATAGTGGGCTCTTAAAGAATATTATTTTAGCTCATTGTGTACAATACATTGTATTTATTCTTTGACTGTCGGTTGGTATTTTATTAATATTGGTAAAGAAATAGGTATCCTAAAACTTACTGAAATTTTAAAACAATTTTCTCACAATAAGATTTTATAACATTGATTTTTTTATTTCATCTTCAGCAGTACCTAAACTAACAATTCATTTTAAGAAGAATTCTAAATGTTAAAACAATACTGTATATATTTACCATTCGTTAGTTGGTGTATTTGGTCCTACATGACTGGTGTATTTTTTGCAATAACACATCCGGCGCAGTATTTTTAATTTTTTGTCGATCTTATTGTGCCAGTAACACGACCTTTTATTATGGTTTTCAGCGTAATGACTTTTCTCATATTCACAATAGCAGATACGGATTAATTTATATGCATCTTTTTCATCTCGGGTCCAAGTACATTCGGGTTTTTTATGAATCTCAGTCTTAGGGTAATTCTCTGCCATATTTTCAATGGAATTAAAGCTACATCACAGTAGTAAATCGGGCATGTCCTAACACTTAAACGATTGCAACTAACTGTTCCAGCCAATTAGGAAACAGTAAAAATACACGTGTTTCTAATAGCCAATAGATACGTGACAACAAATAAATTCATCCAGAAATTTGACACTATTTTACTTTGTGTTGAATTTTAGTTATGATAAATCTAAATTTGGCATATTGATTAAATTTGATATTTATTTTGGAAATTATAGAATGTAGTATACATTCCATAAGTAGTAGGAACTGAGCTGATGCAGAAGCCTGCTGATGACTGATGGACCTTTCCTGTTATTTAACCATATTTCTATCCCTCCATGTATACTCATACTCGCATATGAACCCATTGAGAAGTGTAAAAGTCTGAAAATAGGCCTATACTACTTCTATGTGTCGCTTTTTCCAATAAGTCAATTCGTAGTTTTAAATGTGCGTTACCGTATCCAAAATAAATCGGCATAAACCTAAGTTGTGTGTATGTTTGTTTATGTCAATTGGCCTTGATACGGGCATGCGCAGTTTAAACTACGAATGAATTGGATTATTACAACTTTACTCGTGATGTGTTTCACTCTCTCCACCGTATTTTATCATCCTCCTCATACAAAGTTTATTGAGAAACATGTAAACTGTTGTCCTTTCGTAATCTTATTTTACTTTACATTCTGTCGTGGATATTGGCGATATCCAGGTTGATTGACTAACGGAATATATTTTATGGCTGTATGCATCTAGACATACCTTAAAGTACTTAGTTTACATCAGCTGTAGGCCCTACAACATCGACAAGCGTTCCGCATTTGCAGTTTCTTCGTAGAATATACTTGTTCTGTTTGCTGACCATGTCTTTGCCACTGGAATGTTCGAAAGTGCAATTTAATGCATGTATCTCAGTTCGTGTGTCAGGATTATAATCACTGACACAATAACATGTATAACTCCATCTATATTTCATATATGAATAATACACACTATCTATCTTGCATTTATCCTTTCGATGTATTTCATCCATGATGTTAGTATTGAATAAGACTGACTAATATCGAAGTCAAACGCATTGCTTTATACCAAACGTCGTCATTGGCTAAAGCATCTAGCTAGCCAATGAATGGCTAAAACGTCACTTAAAATAAGTTAATCTAGTATGACGGCAACATTAGTTAATCATTCATTTATTAATCATTTTATTAGTCATACTATTTCTATCTTACTAAATAAATGAATAAAATTCACTACACAATACAAAGAAATTACACTCAAAGTTGCTGTCATTATATCGAAAGAGGGGAGGTTAATACACAGCAAGATTCCTCTGCCGATGTATTCTTGCCGAATTTAGCGTATTGTAAACGCACCTAAATACGTTCGTTTTTGGGACACACTTGTCTTTGTAAGTGTGTATTCTCAGCGATGTTCTGATTGGTCAATTGTTAAGTTTGATTGAAATTCTGGAAAGGTCGTTTGTTGTTGTAGATGATGTGGCGCGCTGAATGCTTACAAGACCTCAGACATTATATATTTATTTTGTTAATACACAAAAATCATTATACTAAATATTTTGGAACGTTTTGCACTCTCAGTTCCAGCGTTATAGTTCAACTATCATTTAACATCAAAGTAATCTGTATGTACATCTTTTTAGTTTGGTTTCAAAAGTACATTTTTGAGTGTGCGTCAAGAATTTTATCATAATTATTTTTCCGTGTCCATTTGCTTTTTACGGTGCAAGCAGTTCAAGAACTCAATTATTGTGCTGTCCATAAACATATCGTACACATAACAATATTGATTCATGATAAACTACAATGTTATTCAGGATCAGAGTTAATATTTTTGTTCTAGAAGTAACGTATGGTCTTTGGTGACCAAATATCTTCTTTTATACAAAATCAGGAGTGGTGAATCGCAATTGTTGTTGATGCTTGCTTGCTTCTTGTCATGATGCAAACTGTCCAAGAGCACAATTAATACAGTTAATGCACTATCGAGTTATTGCTCTCCTTACTTGTCTAGCTGCAAAAAAAAAACTAAACTTTAAACAAAAAACATTAAAGTAAATTTAGTACAGATATAACGTAATCAAATGATAACAAGAATGCTTAGAATGTATACATGTGAATCCTAACTATCCACATTAAGGACAAATTTTTGTATTTAAAGATATGTATTTCATTTCATTTATTTATTCAGACAAGTGTCTTGGGGCCCCAAAAGCAACACAAAATCACCATGACAGAAGTCTGGAGCCCCAGAAAACAAAACTTAACTACATTATTAGCGAGTTTATATAAAGAAAGGTTTAAAATGTAAAAAGTGAAAGGCCAAGACAATTAAAATAATAAAAAAAACACAGATTTCGCACACAATTGAATAATAGATAAAATTTCATAAAAGAACGAATAAATAAAAATGAACTATAAATATATATTATATAATATATATTTATATTATATATTATATAATAGACAGCATTATATACAAATGTATATATTATGTGCAGGTTTTGAAATATGTTTATATAAACATAGTGGTAGTTTCCTAAGAATTATTTTATAGATCTATAATAAATCAATACACGCATTTATGTATAATATATATTTTACCAAACAAATGATTAGAAAACTGTTCGTTCATAAATATACCCGATTACATTTTACATTTTTACATCGTTTTTAGCATTAATACCATGGATTTCAGATAAAACATATTAAACGAAACATATATGTGAGCCATCAAGATTTATTCGCTACAATAGCAGACTGCAACTGCGTAAATACGAGGTACGTTTTGATAAAATATCAAACTGTAATTTCATATCTTGTTATTATATTACGTTCAATTTATTTTACATATTTTGACTTTTATATTCATAAATTTTAGTTCATACTTTACATACCAGATATTTTTCTCAATCGAAAAGTCGCGACATTCTCAACAAACAACAGTTCTTTTCAGAACTATCCACGTGGTCTAAGAATTAAATATATTACTTCTCCATGCAAATATTTAAACAGCACTTTACATACCCATAGCATTCATTGATATGTTGGGTCCGCGACCTTGATGAAATATTTGCTGGTGACCTCGCCGTAAAATAAAGTACCGGTACACTATTCTTGGCAAGGAGGTGATCGAAGTACATTTAATTGTACGTCTCAATGTGTTACCCATTTTCCTTTTATGTTGGTTAACGTTCTACCAAAAGTGACTCAAATAAATAATATTACTTGTATTTATAACTAAATTGAGTTTTAGCAAATCAGATAGCAATACGTATGCAATACCTATGTCTATTTATAATTCGGAAATTCCTTGTTAATGAATTTGATGAACTAGATTAAGCGATATGAAAATTGTCTGTTAACAGTACTGCTGAAATACAAATATTTTATACTTTCAACGAATTTTGTTTAATTAGCTAAATAATACACAATACATATTAAATGAATCATATAAATATTTATTTTGAGTATTAACAACCATAAACTTTATTATCGAATCCTAATAACATTTTTGAATCATAATCTCTTCAGCCTTTTACTGTACAAAACACTTACAGTATATCTGCATCCGATTTCCATAATCAATAATGTGGCTTTGCGTTTACAAAGTCAAGTATGTAGAGCATTGTTCCAACTGAATATTTGATTCACGAATTAAAAGGATGTTCTTGTAAATGTTCATATTTTAACAACAGATAACATTTTGAAACGACATAAAATAGAAACAACAGCGTCTTATGTTTAATATTTGTGCTATTTTTTCTGAGGTTACATCCTTAATGCACCTGAAACGTTAGTCCTTTTCGTCAATAAACTTGTATTGAATTTATATAGTAAACGTCTGTTGATTCGTATTATATTGTTTCTGTTAATTTCATGGAGACAACCATTTTTTGTTCAAACTATTAATATACTTTTTAATCATATATTTTTGAGATTATCGACAAGTCCTAAACAATAGGAATACTTAGCCTAGGTTTATTGACTTAATTTCATTCAGAGCCACTATATCTGTTTTATTAAATGCTCATAACTTTGACTTATTTGTAAATACCGAGTACTGGTCGAGATATAATGTAATTTTCTTGCCATATTATGTGGTAACGATGACGTGGTACGCAGTACGAGACCAGGTGAGTATCCCATTGATTTCAAAGACTCATTTTTGCCACACAAATTTCAATACTACGGTTTTGATTTTCCATGCCTTTCAAAAGATGCAAAATACATTTCTGGGAGAATCCAGTTCTAGTAGCGTCTTTGTCATATTTTTAGAATACAAGGATCTTAAACTAGATTCACACTAGATCAAATTATACGCTTGGACGTTAAACGAATTTTCAAATTCAGAATAGTATTTTAGTAACGACTCTAAAGCTCCATTTACACGTATAATCTACTGCATATATAATGATCTTATTTAATAGGGATATTTTCATTGTTTTGAAATCGTGTAACTTTTAGTTATGAATAATATTTTTACAATTAAAAGCATTTTACTGAAAAGTATCCGATTTTAAATCAGAAATAATAATATTTGATTACAAACCTTAGAATGTTACAAAATTTGTGTGACTTCATAAATTACTTAGCAAATAAATTCCATTATAATTTTTTAGATGGTTTAATACAACAATTATTGAAAAGGGGGATCGAAGTTTTGGGTCCATCATGGAAGCATTCTATAGACCAAGTGAAAACATATAAAACAAAGTAGAAACAACAGCGTTTTATGTTTTATGTGTTTTATTTTTCTTGAGGTTTCATATATGATACACCTCATAGGTTGGTCCTTTTTGTGTATAAATTTGCACTAAATTTATATAGTAAACGTCAGTTGATTCGTATTTTATTGTTTCTATGAATTTCATAGTAACAATCCTTTTTTGTTCAAATGTGTTAATATATTTGTTTTTAGTTTATTAATCATATAAGTTTTATAGACATTATTGATTTCGGCGTTAACGAATTTTTAAAATTAGTTAAGCAATATATTATATCCAAATCATAGGTATAATTACCCTAAGTTTATTGACTTAAATTCATTCAAGGCCATCAAATCTATTCTTAATTACCTTAACTCTTAACTTTGATTTATTTGTAAATACTGTATAC